TAATTTTATGACACCAATTAAACACCCGATTGAAATAGATCACAGTTATAGTAAGTCATTTGGAAACATTGGTTCCATGACAATTTTCCCACTTTTTTAATGTTTAAGAAACTGACTTTATACTTTCAGAAGAGCTGCAATCATAAAAATGTCCCAGAAAGTCCACTTCCAGACCCTCAACCTCACCCAGCATTAGCAGTGCATCCTAATGGCTGTGCTGTTTCTCCTTTTTGGTTTTCCCTCCTTTATTTTGTATTAAATCCCTTAAGAATCAGGTACCATGCACCATGCATCCCTCTTTCCTATGTGAACAACACAGTGGAGTTAGACCCTCCATCTCCACAGAAGCCTAGTAGACATGAGCACATTCCTCATGATCCTCTTCCTGGCTCCTGGCAACCGCTGATCTGCTCTCTGTCTGTTGGATTTGCTTCTTCTAAACATTTCATCTCATGCCTGACTCTTCCAGCCAGCATGGTGTTTTCAGAGTTTACCTGTATTTCCACAGGAGCTGTGACTGAAGAATACCCCAGAATGAGTTAGTGGCTAATACTCTCTTGGATGGATACACTGCATTTTCTCCATTAGCCACTTGATAAATGCTCAGATCATTTCCACTTTTGCAGGTAGTGCTGCAGTGAACATTGACTTAGGAGTTCCTATGTGAATATGTATGCCTCCAGTTCTCCTGGGAGACATCTAGACAGAGGTTTTGGGTTATGTGGTAACTTGGTTTAATTTTTTGTGGATCCTCATGGGTACTCATTATTTTTATATTTTTTTTCCTCCGCTTTGAAATGAAGGGTGGGGGTGGCGAGTCCTCTTCTTAACTTCAGAAGACCTTCTAGACATTTAGGTAAAGGAAAAATGCTGTTTAAAGCCTGTAGTGGAGCTTCCATCTGGACCTAAGCATGATGCTGAGGCAAACTGACCTGGCAGGAGAATTCCTTCCTTCTGTGTCCAGTGATTTCAATGCCTTTAGCCTCTCCTTGGTGCTGTGGAGATTGTTGGCAGCTTTAGGTGTTCTATGAGGTAGGAACATTTCCATTTAGAATGTCATTTACTGTCATCTGTGGTTTACAAGAACCACTGAGAATCCCTTCAATAAACACACACTTTTTCATCTTTAAGGAAGTAATGGAGAGGCCCTGTGAGGTGGTTTAGAAGGTGGGACTCCTTGCTGCCAGGCCTGATTGATGACCTGGATTTGATCCCTTGGTGGAAGGAGAGGACTGACTCCTGTGAGTTGTCCTCTGATCTTCACCCATGTGTTATCATGTTATAGAAGCGTGCATGTGCACAAGCACATACTGAGTAAATAAATGTAAAATTAAGAAGCAGTGGAGAGACTGATGACAAGCCCAGCATTAGTCATGGAAAAAAAGTAAAACTAAATTTTGTTACCTTTGTTGTTCATTTGTTTGTTTATTTATCTCGAGACAGGGTCTCACTATGTAGCTCTGGCTGGCCTAGAACTCAGTATGTGCGCCAGACTGACTGGCTGGAACTCAGAGATCTGTCCGCCTCAGCCTTCTGAGTGCTGGAATTAATGGTATGTGCCACCATGTCTGGTGCATAATTACTTTTAATTTATGCCAATGAAAATAATATTTGCGTAGACAGTTTTAGTATCTATAATAATTACTTATTCCCATAAATACAAATGTTGCTTATTTCTCCTAAAGGGGAAAAGTGAAACATTTTAGATTTATCTAGTTGAAACATCTTCAGTCATAATGGGATCTTTATCTTAAGCTTTAAGCAGTGGTTGTCAACCTTCCTAATGCTTCTACCATCTAATACAGTTCCTCATGCTGTGGTGACTCCCAACAATAAGATTATTTTTGTTGCTACTTCACAACTGTACTTTTGCTACGGTCATAAATCATAATGTAAATATCTGAAATGCAGGATATCTGATGAGTGTCATAGCTTGTTCCTGCAGCCTCAGCATTTAGGTGGTGTAGGCAAGAGCATTAGGAGTTCAAGGCCATCCTTGGCTACATAGTAAATTGAGGACAGCCTGAAGTCCATGAGACCCTGTCTCAACCAAACAAACAAAACATTCTTGTTAAATTTAAGGTTGTGTGGTTGCAAGGACTATGAGATCAACTCTCTTTAAGTAGCAAAATCCTTGTTAAAGAAGATAAGTGTTTTTGTTACAAAGAAGAATCAGAAATATCCTGGCTTAAATGTTCATAATAAAAGTTTGGTTAGTTAAAGAGATATTTATAAATCTTAGGATATGCCTGGTGAGGTGCATACCTTTAATCCCAGCATTTGGGAGGCAGAGGCTGACAGATCTCTGAGTTTGAGGCCAGCCTGGTCTACAAAGCCTAGGAGAGCTGGGGCTATACAGAGAAACTCTGTCTTGAAAAACAAAACAACTAAAAGTCTTTAGGATAATATAATGCTTTAAATAAAATATAGGTAATTTCCAACCATAAGGAAACATGAAGTGTAAAGAATTTGTGACTCAAGCCAGGCATTGGTGGCTCAAGCCTTAGGCAGAGGCAGGAGGATCTCTGTGAGTTCGAGGCCATCCTAGTCTACAGAGCAAGTTCCAGGACAGGCTCCAAAACAATACAGAGAAACCCTGTCTCGAAAAACAAAAACAAAAACAAAAATCAACAAAAAAAGAATTTGTGACTCAGGCACATAGAGTTAATTTAAGTTCATGCTAAAGAAGGTCTGCACATTTACATACTAGTAACATTGACCTTATGGTTTCATTAGCTTACTCTTGTAATTGTTAGAGAGGTAACTAAAATTGTATATGTTATATATTTATTTTAAAAATTGTCATCTTTTAGATCTAAAAATTTTTATTATGTTGTGTGTTTTGCCTGTATGTATGGAAAAACTTTCAGGGATTGGAAGTGTTGATGTGTCTAAGGGAGGAGTATGGAGGTCACAGCGTGGAGATGAGAGGCCCTCGCTGGATGGGACTCTGAGGAGAGGAAGTCTTTCCTCCGGATGCAAGGCACATAAACCATAAACACAGCAACCGAATTGATTGCCTAATGAGAACATTAGCATCAGAATATGACTTTAATTTTATTATACACCTGAGAACCCTGATGACAAGTCATTAAAACTGGAGGCAAAATTTGACCTAGAGTTGACTGGGAGAGCTGAGGATGCCATGTGTGACGTGCCCATGGAGGCTAGAAGAGGGAATCTGATCCTCTATAACTGGAGTTTCAGATGGTTGTGAGCCACCATGTGGTTGCTGGAAATTAAACCTCCATTCTCTGGAAGATCAGTGCTCTTAACCACTGAGCCATTTCTCCAGCCCTTTTATTTTCCTTTTTTTAAAAAAATTGTGTGTGTGTGTGTGTGTGTGTGTGTGTGTGTGTCTGCTTAACATTGCTTATGTGGAAGTCATTGGATAATTTTCAGGAGTGCATTCTCTCATCGCCAGTTAGTTCAGGATCAAATTCAGGTGTCTGGACTCTGAGCCTTCTTGCCATCCTACTGTATGCTTTCTTTTGTGTTGTCCTTTTGTGCCTAGTCTGGCCTTGAACTTGTGATTGTGTGTGCACCACCACACCAAGCAAGTAACCTTATTTATATATTAATTGACTAGGCTTGTAAAAACCACTTTAGGTACTTGAAAAAAAAAATGTGAGAAAAGTGACCTAAAGTAAGATTATCTCAGAGATTGTCATGCTATCAAATATTTGTGTGGTTGGCTGCTGGCACCGTGAGCACACGGCTGTTCTGGGTCCCGTTGTTCTGTTTCCGTACACAGTGTTGGACTTTATTTGTGGGTGGTTAACTGCGGTTTAGCCTAAGCAGTGTGAGGCCTGCTTGGAAGTTCCGTTGGGGAAGTGTGGAGCAGACCTTGTCCCAAGGCCTGTGTCCTCTACTCAGATGGGTCTTTCTCGGGTTTCTGCTCTGTGTTCAAGGGGCCGCTCCTCTGCTGTTGGATTTTTTCCTGATTTTGTGTCTGCAGGCCCGGGAGGGCTGTTAGGCTTTCCTCAGTTGGCTGTCCATGAGAACGCAGTTCGCCTTGTGTGCTCATGCGCGAATGTAGTTCACTCTGCGCACTTGCTTGCCAGTTGCTTCCCAAGCCCTTCCTCAGCTAGTTTCCTCTACTGCTCTGTCCTGTGAATTCATGTCACCCAGCCTCACTCTCTGAGGCTTAGTAAGAAAGTGGAGGCAACTTGAGGGTTCATTTCTCCTTTTGTCTCTGATCTTGCAGCGTCTTTTGTGTGGTGTTAGAAGATAGTTCACACCCACACACACACACCCCTACTTTTGAGCCATTTCTGAGAACTCATGTTAAACTTTGTTTAGAAATGGCATGAAGCATGTCTGAAATGCTGTGCAGCCAAGCCTGCCCTCAGTAATGAGCTGGGAAACAGAGGTGGGACAAACAACTGTGACCCAGACATATGCCACAGAGAGCAAGGTCTAGGCAACTGTCAGGGTGGTGACTCCACTGCTGCTTGATGTCCATCATGGTGTCCTTGCTTTTCTTGTGTGGGCTGCATTGTTGTCTCAAAATAAATGTTTGGGAAATTAATATTTTTCTTCAGTTACATTAATTGATGCATTTTTAAAAGAGATTTACTTATTTATTATGTATGCCTGCAGGCCAGAAGAGGGCACCAGATGTCACTACAGATGGTTGTGAGCCATTATGTGGTTGCTAGGAATTGAACTCAGCACCTCTGGAAGACCAGCTAGTGCTCTTAACTTCTGAGCCATCTCTACAGCCCCCACTAACTGATATTTAAAAAGAACATCTGTGTAGCACAGGCTGCCCTTAAACTTGTGGTTTCCAAGCTCCAGCCTCCTGATTGCTGGGTGAGGGGAATGGACCACCATACTTGGCATTGAATTTTATTTGTAGTTCTAAATTTTGGGTATATAGAAAATGTAACACACTCAACAATACTTGATAATAAATCTGGTAAAAATGTTTCTTTTGATAGTTTAGATTTTCTGTTGGAAAGAAGAAGGGTTAAAATGTCTCTTTTTCTTTATTCTAGAGACATATTATTACATTTCTCCATTAGTTTGTGCCTTTTTCTTGGCTTTGACACCTATTTGGATTATAATAGCTGCCAAACATCCTGCTACCAGGACAGTGCTCCACTCAGGCTGGGAGCCCGTCATAACAGCCATGGTCATCAGCAGGTGAGTGTTGGGGTGGGGGAGGGAGAGCGAGCATGTTCTGTGTGGGTATGTATGTACTAAACAAGTTTCTTGACTAGTGGTGGGGCATCAGTTAGATGAATCCTAACAGGGCTGCAAAATGGAATATTAGCAACCCAGAATAACACTGTTACCTTTCTGTTGCAATGGAAAGATGTTCGCTCAGTCCACATTTGATGAAAAAGGGAATCTAGGAGAGAGTAGGCATGTCCTATAAAACATGGTAAACTAAGAGTCTTGTGCATTCTTTGGATTTATAATACAAAGATCAAAATTAGCATGGAAAGCCCTTAAGAGGAGGTGGAGGATGGCAGCTGTGCCTCTGTTCCTGAGACCAGCTCTCCAGAGTGTAGGAGGATAGTTATCATAAGGAAAGATCTCTCTAAGAATTAGAAAAACAGCCGTGGGATTGATTGATGGTAACTTCATGGGTTAGATGTATCGAGAAGGGCTCAGCATAGATTGGCAGATATAGAGAGAAGGCATTTGTGGAAGCTCTGAGATGCATTTACATAGCACTCACTAAATACAGGTCTAAAACTAAAAGTGAGAAATAGCATTTTTGCATGCTACTTAGCAACAGAGGCTACAGTGGAAAGCAACTCTTAGGGCAAAGAAGATCTGGGAATGGGCTACGGAAGACTGTCAGATGCCGCCAGAGCTTTTGGTCTGCTGTTTGGTCTGTCCATCCTATGACAGCATGTGGATCATTTTGCAAAAGTAGATTGCATTTCCTGGGAGATTTAGGCAACAGGTTTCTATGGGTGTTGGGACTGGCAGTGTCTGATAGTAAATAAACCACAGACTGAAGGCAAACAGTTAATAAAGGCCTAAACAACTCTCCAGGTTCCATGGAGATACTGAGTGTATCGCTTGCCACTGTGTTGTATTAAAATAGCCATCTTACTTCCCAGACTTCTCAAGCCCAGCTCTTTCTGTTGCTACAGTTCTCTGTGGTAATACACTTGTGATCCATCTAGTTTTAGCACAGTAGAAACCACCCCTTTAATGCCTGCTTGCTTTAAAGATGAAAAGACACTGCTTTGCAAGTGGATTTCTAGGAGGTTGAGGCTAGTATGGTCTATCAGCAAACTCCAGGCCAGCCTAGGCTATATAGTGAGACCCTGTCTCAAACAAAACAAAATGAAAATGAAGGGACCATTAGTCTCACTGTTTTAAGGCCTTAAAATAGTTAACAATGCATTATAGATCCTTCTTGATGGTTTCGTGCAGTTACCTTAAGTATATTATGACACATACCTATAATCCCAGCACTTGGTAGGCTGAGGCAGGAGGATTGCTGTAAGTTCGGGACCATCTTGGGCTATATAGCAAGACCTTGTTCCCCAAAGGGAGAGGACAAAAAAAATAGACAAAAACTAATGTACACACATTTTACCTGATGGTTATGGTATTTATTACTTAGTGTGTGTAGTCTGCATGTATGCTGGTATGTGCCCAGGTATGCACCTGTGGAGGCCAGAGGTCAACACCATGTTCAGAGTATCTTCTTCTATTGTACCCTGTTTGTTTCTTATCTTAGTTTTGGAGACAGGCACTCACTGAACCTGGAGATCACTGATTGGCTTGTCAGCATGGCTAGTGGGCCCTGAGATCCTTCTGTGTCTGCCTCCCACTGCAGAGACCACAGGATCCCCTTCCTACATCTGGACGCCTCTCCTGCCCCCATCATAGCCAGATCCTCACCCACTGAACGCCTCTCCTGCCCCATGACAATTTTATTTCCAGCTTATTACTGTTAACATTTATTTCTACTTTGAATGCTCTTCTTTTTGCATGATTTTTAAGTTGTGTAAACATTGTAGTATACAAGGTGGGGATGTCTGAATGTCAGAAGAACTTGAGATTCTCTTCTATCCTAATATGTGGTTTTCTTTCTTTCAGCATTGGGGGCCTTATTCTGGATACAACTGTATCTGACCCAAACTTGGTTGGGATTGTCGTTTACACGCCAGTTATCAATGGTAAGACTTGAAGGTACTGCTTCGTGATGACATCACTCTCAGGTACCCACCCTGGTCTCAGCACATAGAACACTTTTTGGAAAAGAGCTGTTTCTCAGTTATTTTTGTTACATGTTGGTTGACAGGCACACATGACTTATAAAACTGACGTGACAAAATACAGTATTTTGCCTCTGAGTTGTCCTTTCCCTTTCTGGTGCACCTGCTGTTCTTATATTTGCTTTTGTTGGTTATCTTAGAAGAAACAGAATTAGCCAGATTTGACTATTACCTAAATTCACTCCATTCTCTATTCTGCTATTCCTCTGACACCTGAAAACCCTGCCTCATAATTTTCTTGCCTATAAAATGAAAATTATAATCCTTATATTGTATAATACATACATTAAAGTATGTTAAAATAATATGATTTTGTTTGAATTACACTTTTTTCTTTTCAAGCTTTATTAGTAAACAATTCTAAATATGTGTGTATATGATGAGATTTTTGTCTACAAAAATTTCACTATATATTTAAATATGGTACTAAATCTCTGTGAATATTAAAGGAATTCTGTCTGTTGTATAGTAGACTATAGGACTGAAAGACTGCATATTCAAGAGGCTGACACATAGAATTTAGATGTAATTGAGGACAAGCTGGTCTCCATAATGAGTAGCAGTCTTCCAAATGTGTGAGGAAACCCATTGAATTACACTTAACAATACAATTTAATCCATCTCTACTGGTGATCATTGGACTTTAGTATAGCTTAGATTGACATAACTAAAAAGTAATTCTTTTGGCATATCATACATTTAGAATATATTATTTTTCCTTTCTTTTTTTAAGAATTAACTTTCTATGGCTAGGCATTGTGGTACTCAGGAGGCAAAGGCAGGCAGATCTCTGAGTTCAAGGCCAGCCTGGTCTACAGAGTGAGTTCCAGGACAGCCAGGACTGTTACAGAAAAAGCCTGTAAAACACACACACACACACACACACACACACACACACACACAGAGAGAGAGAGAGAGAGAGAGAGAGAGAGAGTTAACTTTATTTACATAAAAATATATACAATGACATGTTCTGCAGAAGTCTAATTTTAGATCTAAAATTTCTACTGAACATTGTAATTTTTGTCTACCTTTATAATGTCAAAGACATTTCCCTTACTAACCTGTCTCCCAGCAGTCTGGTACCACCATTCCCCTTCTGTCAGCCACCCTTAAAATCAGGGAACCATCTGACTCTTCCTGGTTCTCCTCTTTGAGGTGAACATTGTTGATTTGTATATACAATGGCATGTCTCTCCACTGCAGTCTGAGGTTGTTACACTGAGACCATCTGTCTGAATAATGAAGTACTTTCCTGAGTTATTGCCTGCTCAGTGTAATTGTCACTAAGATGCTAGTGTTAAAACTGATGTTCACAAGGAAAAAAGACCATGTCCACCATTGCCCAACTAATGCACCCAGACCTGGCCAGCTGACTGCCTTCCTAAGTCAAGATTTGAGAGAGCAGCTCCTGCTGGCCTCTAGAAGTCCTGCTTACAGGAGAGATGAGGTGTTTGTTTACAGGGGTGGGAAGGTTGGCCGTTACACGTTAGGATACAGTGAGGTGGGAAGGAACCAAGGCAAGGATGGTGTATCAAGTGGACGGACTTGCAAGCAGTTTACACCAGTCCTAAGAAACAGGAGCTTACTCTTAATTACAAGTGGAAACACAGGACATCAGGACTTATTTATCCCTTGCTAGGGCTTACCACAGGACAAATGGGAACTTCTTTTTAATTGTCACAGCTGCAAACAGAACCTGCAGGTGTATTTTCTGTTTGGTCTCCTGTTAACCTTCGAGGCTTTTATTTCTGTTTGGGTTTCAAGTTGTTCTTCCATAAGCTTTGTTTGTATCCTTTCAATTAGAAGATGAACTTCTGGGTGGGTTTCTTCTGTGCGCCACATCAAATCTTAATGACAGTGTCTTTCAAAACCCTTGATTCTGTCGGACTCAGGGATCCTATCCGAGGCGCCCAACTATTACCATGCTTTCTAGATTCATGCACTGTCCTGACTGAGATTCTAACCCTCACTACCAGAATAGTTATGTCTTTCTTTCCACTGTTTCTGCTCTCTCAGTCTTCAGCTTACAGTGTTATCTGAGTGACCTGTACTGAATAACATTACAGGGAACTTAGATGAAAATCCCTTTATTGGCAATACTTTTGCGACTCTTTGGGTTGCTTCACCGTATACAGGGAACTGATTTAGACTGCCATGACAGGCTCTCCTTGGGGGTCTGTTCTGTGACTTCATGCTGTTAAATCCCTTTCGGTATGTCCATAGGCAAACCTTATGTTAAATTCAACCCTGTAGAAGCAATGTTACTGAAGATTCCATATTCTCAAATAGATACAGTTTTTAGAATTAAATTGCATTTAAAACAATTCCCTCTCTTCTCCCTAACTATTCTCAGATCCCTTCCACATTCCTAGCCTCCAACCTTCATGTCCTCTTTGGTTTTTTTTTTTTCCCCCTTTAACAACATATTACTTCTAGTTTGTGTTAGGGTACAGGGCATCCACTGGAACATTGTCAGTTTACCAGGAACAACACTGTGTTTGTTAGGGTTTCTATTGCTGTGAAGAGACACCATGACCATGGCAACTCTTATTAAGGAAAAACATTTAATTGATGTGGCTTATATTTTCAGAGATTTAGTCCATAATCATCTTGGTGCAACATGGTGTTATGCAGGCAGACATGGTGCTAGAGACAGAGCTGAGATTCCTACATCTTGACTTGTAGGCAACAGGAAGTGGTCTGTCTCACTGGGCATGGCTTGAGTATATGAGACCTCAAATCCTGCCTCCCAAGGAACACACTTCCTCCAACAAGACCATACTTACTCTAATAAAGACACACCTCCTACAAGAGCTACTCCCTTTGGGGGCCATTTTCTTTCAAAAAACCACAACACCCTTAAAGTAAACTGATTTTACCTATTCCAGAAAATGTTACTGTCCATAACTCCTCAGTTAGGGGTAGAGGCTCATGAACCCCCTCCCACTCTATGCAAGAATGTTGTGTAGATCTTACTCAGACAACCACAGCTACTGTGAGTTCATGAGTGTAGCAGTCTGCCAGGTTCAGAAGACTTTGTTTTGGTGTGATCCCCCTGGACCTTTGATTCTTGGACTCTTCCTGGCCACTCTTCCAAAGTGGTTCCCAAGCCTTGGGGAAAGGGTGTGATATGGATGTCCCACTCGTGGCTGAGTATTCCACTGACATTTATACTCTGTACTTTGACTAGTTGTGAGTTTCTGCATTAACTACTGCCCATGTCTGGAGGTCCTAATAATCTATGAGTAGAGAGATACAAATGTAATGAGAGGGCAGTGCAATACTATGTCCTTTTAGCATGATAAAGTGATAGGTTCACCCTTGGGGCCTGTAAGCTCCCTACACATGGATTCTTGCCAAGGTTTATAGTACCAGGGCCTTAAATCCAATCAGAAGGTGATTGGTTACCCTCATAGCATCTGCGCCACTGTTGCACCTGTGGGCATATCTTGCTTATGCCAGTCTTTATTACATTTCACAAAATTCACAGCTGGGTAAGACTGTTGCTGACTTCTCCCAGTCAAGCAGCCCACATAACACCTTCCAGTATTATGAAACTAGCCTGCAGGGAGAAAGCTTCTGGGGTTAGTACCAACTTGATTTCTCCAAGTTCTGTCCCCAGTGCATATGGTGTCTTCAGCAAGAAGGTCTTAGTATCAAGGGCTAATAGTTAATCAAGAAAACTAGCAGTAACCTGTATTGTTTTGGGGCACCCCACAACCTATTTTTAAATAATAATATACCATTTTGTGTATAGGATCAGAGACTTGTATCAGTAAACCCTCTTGGCTTCTGCCATACTTTTCTTTGTTCTAAACCCTATAGTACATTATTATTTATGCTTTAAATAGTTATTTTTAAAAATATTAAGCATAATAAAATGGTATTTTCTGTATTTTCTTACACGGACTGGCATTTCTAGTTCTTTCCTTTGTACACATGCCTACTTCCATCTGACTGTCATGTGTTCTCCATGTGTTTGAAGAAGTTCCTGTCAGAGTTTCTTTCAGGGCAAACCTGAAGAGAACACACAGGTTTTAGGCACAGTCCCACCCAGTGTATTCCTCTTTCCATTCTCTTTTCTGTTTTCATCTTTAATGATGCCTGTTTGAAGTTCTTTCACCTGTATCAGAGAAAAACCTGATTTTTTTTTTTTTATCTACTGTCAGCCTGGATACCATTTCATCAGCCATGTGAACCTTGCTCCATCTCTATCAATTACTTCAGTGTTTCTCCTATCGCCTGTGCCGTCCTCTCTTCTGTTTTCTTCCTACAAATGTGCTAAGTATTGGATACTAATCACGTTTCCCCCGATGATCTAATTTCTTTGTCCATTGCTTGTTTTCAATGTTTGATGTGCTCTTTCCCAATCCTCATTTCATCCTCTGAAAAAATTTGTGTCTCCTGCTTTCTACCTGCTATGTAAGTGTATATATTCTTCAAAACTGTATCTATGGTCATCCTCAATTCTCTATCTTCATTTTTTATTAATAATATTGTCTGGTTCAGAGACTTTTCCAGCTATAGTCCCCTGGCTGTCAGTGCTGCCAGGGACTGTTAGAAACACAGATTCTTGAGATTGACTTGGAAGCTCTGGGATGGGAACCCCCCTGCTTTGACTCTGAGAGCAGACGAGTCTGGGGTCCCCTCTCTAGTCACAGGATGTTAGCACTTCAGTCATGACTTATATGTTCATTTCCAGATCTGTACCTTTTTTTCTGATAGTCTTAATTTGTAGCTCAGGCTGGCTTTAAATTTGTCATTCTTCTGGGATTACAGATGTAATCCACCATGCCTGTCTCAGAATCATACTGTAAGTTGCTATTTTCACATGGAAGACCCAAAGATCCTAAGGAACTCTTAAGCCCTCCTTGTGTACTTCATGCATCTATTAAGTGGTATGATTATCTACCAATATTCCACCTAGGACAGCTTAAGTCTAGTCAGATACCGGTTAGTTACTCCCACAAGCTTTGTGCTGCTATTGGTTCAGCTCATCTTGTAGGCAGGTCCCATTGTAGACTGAGGTTTTGTAGCTGGGTTGGTGTTCACCTTTTACTCTGGTATGCAGAGTACCTTCCAGGGCTATGAAGACCAGTCAGTAGGAGTGAGGGCCCTAGGTAGGCACCAGCATTGACTTTTGTTCAATGAGTTGTATGGTGTTGTCTTCAGCAATAGGGCCTCACTGTCAGTTTGTAGAGAGCAACCAAAAGCCTTGACAATAGCCTGGGTTGTTTCAGAGTTCCCATGGGTTCCTTTTGGCCAACAACTAGATTAGATATAACCTATTCCCTGAACTGGA